TAAACATTCGCCCGAGGCGGGCCCGCCCAAGGGGCGGGCTTATCCCTACATCTCCCCCTTTTTATCTAAATAAGACAGAACTAAACCAAATACAACTATAATCAATAATAACAAATAATAGATATAACAAACAATATTGAGAACAAAATTTTACCAGACATTCTATTTTAAGGAGTCTAAATAATGTAGAGAGTAATTACAATTATATAGTCTTCAACTCCATCAAAGATCTGAGAAGGGAATAAATATTACTTAAAATATGAGAGATATCCAAAACGTGCCATAAATGACAGAGACAACAGACTACCTGGGCAATCACCCAAATTCTCGTTCGCAATGTTGACTCAACCAACTTTGGCTAAGGCCTAGCATAACTGACATACCATTATCAAATGCAAGGAATTTTCTTAGAATTATCCTACCCTGTCTTGGCAAGATAAGACAATCCTGTTTCATATCTTTGTCAGTAGATGAGGTATGGGCTTCTCTTAACCCAAAGGCCAATTCTGCCAAGAAGACAAGCTCCCAGTGGAGTGTCTTTGGTGCTTAACGTTCTCTCGGGACGCTGATAGTGGGAGAAAAAAAGCCCTCAATTTGATTATCCAATACCAAATGGCCACTCCATAGGATATGTAAAAGATAATATTATAGGAGTCTCTGTGTGTGTGTGTCTCTGTGTGCATATATGCACTGTGTGTTTTCAATAAAAGAAAATAAAGGTCCAAATTTGATATTGAGCAAAAAAGAGCAGTATATGAAAAGATTTCCAAGAATAAAGGGAAGGTTGAAAGGAGGTAAGTATATTAGAATCTTAAAAATAAAATGACTGGAAGATGAAAGCCACCTGCTCTAGGCAGTGCAGTGTGGGAGGAATCCTCACAGATGGAGTGTAAACACTGGGGAGAAACAGAGCTCAAGACTGGTGAGGATGATTTGAAGGACAGACAGATGCTGATAAGATGTGGGTTTGTAGTCCCTAGGGGAATTCTCCAGCCATGAAATGTGCAGGAACAAACATGGCAGAAACATATGGAGACCTTGGGTGTCCCGCTAAGAACTCTATTGAGCTGCACAGACAGATGCTCACGTGGATGGATGGAAAAGGAGGACAAATATGACAGAGGACACCTACAAAGTTTTTTAAGTATCCAGAAACAGGCCACACAGGTCTTGGTGATATTGACAGAAACACAAAGCAATGTCCGGTGACACACAGAGAGTAAAGGGGAGACAGTCGCTGAGAACAGTGCACACACACAAACACACACAAAAACATGCTGACCACTGCAGACATCACCTGGCAATTTCTATATTCCCACGTTTGAGTTTAGTATGCTCCCCAGATTGAGTTCTAGTGTAAGCTAAGGCAAGGAAGGGGCAGCTGCAGACAGTAAGGTGCAGTGAGCAGCTTTAGGAAAAGAACTGGCGAACAGGAGGAGGTGGGAATGCAGACGGCAGCTGGGAATCAAAGGTGAGGAGGAAGGCAGCACCTGGAAGATGTATGGCAAGTCTCCCGTGGGTGGAGAGAGAGCCTCCATTGGTAGTGACACAAATCCTGGGGAAATGGAAACAGAAGTGATAAGGAAGAAAGTTATCCTGAAGTATCACCCCAAATACTGAATGGAAATTCAGGAATATGCATGATATAGAACTGGATAATGCTTCCTAAGGTAAAAAGCAACTGAATTCAGCAATTTTTGATCTTCAACTCTGGATTTTCATCCAATTCCGTTCCTATATACCTCAGAGATACTCGTTTCTGAATCCCCAACGGTGTAATGAAATTCACCCTTAATACCCACTGCTCCCCAGGAATTACATGATGTTGTTTACTAACTGAAACTGACAAGCCATAAAAAGCCCAGTGAAGACTTTAGACTATGAACTCCCAAAAAGCTCCTCACATTTACAAGGGCAGACCCTGCTCTACTGATCCCACCAAACACTGCACACTCTCGAGTCAGAAGGCACCCAAGAAAGCAGGCTGTTGGATTACTACCACTTTGCAAATGAACAAGGGAATGAATGACATTCATATGGGAAATTCTG